GGGCTTATTTTGGGGGCAGGGCTTATATTAGGAGCATGCTAAAAATAATCAGGCTAAGGCGTTTTCTTGTTAGGTCTTATTTTGGGGGAAATGCAGTATATAACAGTTGATATACACTGGAGTGTCTCACCAAAGAACTAATCAGACCTTAACCTCCTTTGCTCCTGAGCCAGATAAAGTCAGCCAGTTTTAGCTGGGATTTATTTTATTTTTTGTTTACTGATTTACAGTAATATTCACACTTCCTCTACCACTCTCAGGAAAAAGATGGAAATATTGGCAAGAAAACTTTCTTCTTAGTCCTCCTCTGGACATATTGATTATATATAAATATATAATTATTATAAGTATCAGGAATTAAATGAATTGAGTTTTTTTTTTAAAAAACCTTCCATATGTTAAGTTACAATAAATTAAAAAAATGAAAATCTAGATTTACTATAAGTAATAGTTAGGAACCAAAACATAATGGAATATTTTTTTAAATCAAGCTGCTAAGTATATAAAACTATTTCTGTTCCTCCATGTTTATCCATTATCCATTATTTCTTATCAAGTACTCCAGAAAAAAATAATATAACCAGTGCAATTATAGCAACTAAACATAAAATTAAAAATGTATATCTTTTCAAGGATCGCATTACTATACAAGTTGATCCTTATTCAGGCTATAAGAATGTACCTAAGAACTTCCATTAAGCTTTGAATAGAAGGGGAGACTCTGAATAATGTTTACCACCGTCAAATCCAATATCTAGATTTCAGACAACTCTTTCATTTGTCAATTTAGATTTCTCAAAACATTTCTATTTGGAGTTCATGGATTGCATAGAAAATACTTACCAACACTGTAACTTTTTTTTTGAATAAATACTTTTGATTAATTAACAATACCTTGGTGGCACGAATCTGTCTGTGAAGGTCAGTAAGTTGTTGAATTTTGTATTCCAGTTCAGAAATCTGATCCTGAAGCCATGTCCACTGACAGCCAACTTTAGCTCTTTCAACCAACCATTTCCAGTCAGATCTACGGTTACTGAGAAGATAGAACTTTGATTAGTCAATGTAAAAATAACTTATGTATTTTTATTTAACAAACCACAAGTCTTTTAACAAATTAACTGTGTCAGATTATTATTTTAAAAATTATCTAAGACTCATGGTTTTCACATTTAACAGGAACTCATCTATTTTTTAAATATAAACATAATAGCTCATTTATACTACTGTAGTCTAAACTTGAGACTACATACATATTATGCGTTATTATTTTGATGTATATCCCATTTTTCAAACACTACTGCATTCATGGGGGCTTATTTCTGGGTGAAATTTTAGATGGTAGGAAGAAAATTAGTATGCAATGAACTAAGATGATAAGGGGTCTGGAGACTAAGCTGTACACTGAATAGTTGACAAAACTATGTATGTCTATTCTAACAAAGAGTACCGGGGGTGTGTGTGTGACATGATAGCAGTTGTCTAGTACCTAAGGGGCTCTCACAGAGAAGAGGGGGTTGACCTATTTTCCAAAGCACCTAAAGGCAGGACAGGAAATAATGGATTGAAGATCGTTAAAGAGAAATCTACACCTAGAAATAAGGAGAAATTGTCTGACAATGAGCACAATTAATTAATGGAGAGGCTTGCCTCCAGAAATTGTGGGTGCTCCATCACTGGAGATTTTCAGAGATTGGACAACCACTTGTTCAGAATGGTGCAAAGTCTCCTGCTTATTATTCTATGTTCTATGTTGGTATTCTATGGTCTCATTAAAGGTAAATTAGCATTTGTGATATAATTCTAGATCAGTTAAATATGACCAGCTAATTCTGACTTCTATTACCCAATTCTTCAGGCTATTATTCATTGTATTTGATTTCAATTACCAGAATTCCCAATACAGCATGAAGTAGTTCGCCCAACTTAAACTTGCCAAGACTGAAAAATGCTGACAGATAGGGATTTTTCCATTCCTTTTACTGGTTCTTACTTACTTATGAGCAATCATAATGCAAAGTCCTCACTTCCCCCCGATCCCAGAGCCATCATAATGCAAAAGCCTCACTTCCACCCCATCCCTCAACTAACCTGCATTCCAGCTCCGTTCTCCTGCATGCAGGGAAACAAAAGAAAACCATGACTACCGGTTTAAAAAAAGTTCAGTCAGGCCTTCCAACTTCTCGAGGGAAAAAACATCTTGCAAATTTGGAAGATCTGACTAAACATTTTTTAACCTGGTAGTCACATGGTCTTTTTTTTTTTTTTGCCCTGCATGCCAGAGAACGGAGCTGGAAAGCAGGTTAGTGAGGGGATGGCGGTTGCTGCAGGATTTTGCAGGTCATCCAGGCCAAAAATGGGCTGCAAGGGGGCAGCCCTCCCAGCTGATTGGCGGGGCCAGTCCATTCGCCTCCTCCTCGCTGATCAGCGTGGCTCCCAGTCACGCCCCTGCAGCGTCCCCACAGTGAATGGTAACCCCAGTGGACAGGGCCAGCCAGTGGTGGGTTCAACCAGTTCGCCAAACGCAAAAAATTAACAACCTGTTCGTCCAAACCGGTCCAAACTGGCTGAATCCCACCACTACATCCTTTCCTGTAATCAACACCCAGATAAACAGGGATTACCGACAGAAAAACAATCAAGCAGGAAAGCAATACTCTAATCAAAGATTTACCAAGCAGAAAATCCCCAACCCTACCAACAGACGGAAAAGCTATTGTATGTAAACAGGATTCCACAGTATAATCCTCAGACTGACTATCTACTTACTGTTGGAATTACTGTTTAAAATAAATCTGTTTATTAATAGAAAAATATTCTACAATTAATGTAATAATTGTCATTTAAGAAGCATTTTGGAATTTATTACAAACAGATGCCAAATATATCATTTGGAGAGAAAATTATATATTGGAGCTAAAATGATATAGGGGTAAATTCATCCATAAAAACCATCCAACTCTAATCCATCCTCACCTGTTAAAGCTCATGGAGTGGGATTGACTTTAGTGAAACCTACCTCAGAGTTGTTGTGCAAAGAAGTAGGACAGAATACTATATAGCCTGAGTTACTATATAAAAGGGGGATATAATTCTAACAAATAAATTTAAGAAACAAGCTTGTTACTTGGCTATTAATGAGCAATGTGTTAGAATTTAACAGGGTGGATAAAAATAGATTTTAAAAATATATATTACAAATTGGATTATTTTTTTTTTTTTGTTTATCAAATTTGGAGTATTTGATAAAATACTCCAAATGCTTTTGGAGTAAAAATCTATCTAAAGATAGTTTTCTATTTAAGATGAATTAATAATTTAGTTTATTCAGCATGCAATGAAGCTTAGTTATGTAGCATGAGGCTGTATATTCTGCAATATTTACATTTTTGATAAACTCATTCAATGAATCCAAGCTCTGCAAGCTAAGATAACATGCACTGCATTGATGTATTCACACAATTTCACAGTAACCATGAGATAAATCATAAAACAAAGTTCAGGAACATTCCTTTATCCCATTGTTTTGTGAATCTATGTACACTACAAACTATGATTGTTTTAAGAGAATCACCAGGCTAAGTGTGAGGAGGAAGGGCAAGCAGTAAAAATGAAAGTGAAATCTTCTAAAGAGCACCTGCCATTTCAGATCCATCATGGCAGCACCTGTTAGCGGGCATCCACTCACCTGCTGCCTGCCACGTCCCTTACTTTATTGTGTCACTACCGCATCACCAGTTGCCCCATTAAAGTGAATGGGACGGTCAGTGAGTCAACAGCAGGTCAGAGGAGCCCCTGCAGGACAGAGATGACAGTTGCTCTTTAAAAATTATGATTTAAATTAAGTCAATTTAAATCAAGCCTTTTTACTAGTGATTTAAATCAAATCCACCCTCAAATTTAAATGCTAGAATTAAAATTTAACATGTTAAGGATGTCAGACTATAATCCTTTTAGGATCTTTGGCCTGCCACACACACTCTCTCTCTCTCTTTACTATGCTGTTCAATAGTGGGGAATTGGGAGGGGGAGAATAGTAAGGAGTAGAATGTGGTTGTTTTCAAAATAAAAAAAATCCTTTCTAGAAATCAAGGTCATTCTTTGTCTCTGCACCTCTGCACCTGACCAGAACTAGATGGGTAGAAATGCCAGTGTGGCAGAGGAAGATTGGACCATGTGATGAACTTGTGGGTGTGGGGACAAGATCATGAACTTTCAACTGGGTGGAAACCCAGGAAGCTTTCAGATTTGGGTTTCCCACAGGTGTGCCAACATGTCTGTCTTATTAAATTGGAACTTTAAGGATAGCTCTGCCTTGGAATCTGATTTAATTCTGCATATTTGGAATGTTGACATTAACCCAAATCTCCTTTAAAATAAATCACCGGCAACCCCAGCCGGGGGCTGGCAAGGGGATCCGGTCAGCATAAAATATCAGCAAACAATTAAGAGAAAGTCTTTTGAGATAAAAAGCTGAGATGAGATGTTTCTCTACATACCTCCTGAGCAGCAAAGGAATTTGCGTAGGAGGATTTTTTTCTGATTTATTGCGCCTGGGAAGATGCAACCAGAGGGGGCTGGAAAGGCTTATTCTACGCATGACTGGAAGCGAAAAGATGTTTGGAATCCCAGACCAACTTCTACAGCTAAATGTGAGTGGGTACGCCCCCTCCTTCCCCAACAAAAACACAGGAATAAACTGGAGTGGAACTTTAAGGATAGCTCTGCCTTGGACTCTGATTTAATTCTGCATGACACTTGGACAATGGAAAACTAAAACATTAAAATAAATAAACCTTGAAAACATGACTTTATCTTTGTTGGCTAAGATGACAAGTAGAAAACATACTGATAGCAGTAAAGAGAATGTGGAGTCAGAAACACAAATATATTCCAGGCTGTGAAATGTAGTTCCTCTTATACAATTCTAAATTCTACTGTGTGTAGTGGTAGCTCAAACCTTAAAATGCAGTATAAGATGCACCCTTTTCCCTCAAAAAAGAGGGTGAAAATCTGGGTGCATCTTAGAGACTGAATACAGCATTTATGGCCTCCCGAAATCCTGGCCCCTTTGCAAAAATGGCCGTGCATAGCCTTTAGGAGGCTTCCAGCGTGCTCCTGGTGGCTGAGAAGGGCAAAAATGAGCTAAAATGGGGCGTTTTTTGTCCCCCCCCCCCAGCCCCCAGGAGCACTCTATAAAAATGGACCACTTTGGGGAGGTATGCAGACTGCAAAACATTTTTTTAAAATTTGCCTCTTCAAAATCTTGGTGCATCTTATACTCCGGTGTGTCTTATAATCTGAAAAATATGGTAGTTCTAGCCTAAGACAATAAAAATTAAACAAAGCAAAACAGCACATTCAGAAAAAAACAGTAGAATATCTGATTTAGCCCATATGCAAACATTTAAAGCCCAAACATCTGGCTTTAAAAAGAAATTACCAAATTGTAATTTTTTTGGCACTATTGTTAAAATATATGGCTAGGAGAATATTAACTGCATTTAATTTCAACTAATGTGATTATTCTCCCACTCAAATTAATTCTGAAATCAATGTTTTATTTCTGTTGAGAATAAAACTTAGCTTGCAGTACACTATTAAAGAAAGTCCAAAGCAGTGGATTATTCATAGTATAGGCCATATTTAAGAGCTGAAGAATGCACTAACTTGCAGAACAGAATGTGAGGACTTAGCATAGCCTTCAAACCATTAAGTTAATGATTTTCATGCAGTTCTTTGGCTTTGGTATGCATGGCAAGGTGCCTAATCTGGCAGCTGTAGGAAAATCATTTTTCTGTGCACTAATGGAAAAAGTATTGCTCTGGCAGGGCATGTGATACAGACCCTAAGCCCCCGTAGTTATTGGTGGTAATAAACACAAGAGTGTTGAATTTATATCTAAAAATGACTGAAATCTTCACATGATATAAAGCAAACAAGAGTGGCTTCTGCTGTTTATTTTAGTTCCTCTATTTTAAGATCCGGAGACAGGATCATTCTTGACTCAGTGGACTTTCAAATTGTATATTAATGAGGCTTTCTACAAGAGAGGTTTTAGGGTGATATTATTCTAGGAAGTTTAGGCAAAATAATAAAACTCCTATATTTTCTTGAGAGTAGACCTTGATAATTACGATGTGTCCTAACTGGATTGAAGTCTCATAAAGAGATACAGAATAGCAATGTCTAATTTATAGTCTAGAAGCATGTTGGCACTGGGCATATGCCACCAATGTAAAAGAAAAGGAATCCGTAGTTGAAGGGTCACAAATTCTGCATCCTATACTTCAGTCTTTCTGATACTCATTAGCATTAAAAATGGCTAACAAAATTAGTCCCTGCATTCTTCTTGACAAGGTATGTAATTTGCCATTGTCTTCTTCTTCCTAGAGCTGAGACAGAATGACTGGTTCAAACTCATCCAGCTGGTTTCATGTCTAAAGCAGGAATAGAACCCATAGTCTCCTGGTCTTTCACTTGGTGCCTTAACCACTACACCAAACTGTCTCTCAAAAGAATAAAATGCCTTTTGGGGGTCAAGTACTTACTAATTTAAACAGCTAGTACAAAATTAGATGATTGCATCTACTATATATATATGTGTGTTAGCATAAAATCAGAACTAGATTATATGCAAACACCTATACATTGGACAAAACAAAACACTTACAGAAAATTTTGACATTCTCAACACAACACATATTATGCATGATTTTTTTTTACATTAAACCATTTTAATAACTATGTAAACATAGCTTAGAGAATTAACAACTGAACTTGCTTCACATGATATGCTTAATGCTAAACTAAAATTAAGAAAACAATGCACTATTTAACATTAAACTTCTTTTTAGCAGTTCTCTAGCAGTTATCAATCTATCATCTCTCTCTCTTTCTCTCTCTCTCAAAATCAGCCTGGAAGAACCATTTACAAGTCTAACTCTATAAAAATCAAAGCATCCCCTTCTTAGGATGTTTTCCTGTAATTTAAATACATTATTTCATATCCTATGCTCAGAAACAATGGAAAACAGATCTCGATAATCTTGTGTGTATCATCTTTCTCGTATCTGAAGATTATTCTATTATATTTCCCTTAGGTCTCAATTTCTCAAAGCTAAACAATTCTTAAATTATCATGATTTAGGTCTGAAATTTCTAGTCCCTTGATCATCCTTGGGTTTTTTTCTGAATCTGTTTCAGTTGTCTTACTCCTCATTAAAAAGTCATTCAATGCTTTAATTCTTATGATTTTCTGTAATATAACAACATCATAGTCACAGCATATTAGATCAACTCATATTTTTCTGTCTTTTTTTTGAGAGCATGAATTAGCAAATGTTACTTATACTCTGTATGGATCCTCCCAGGGGGGATACACACACACACACTTAGAGGAGAAAATGGATATCTGAGAACTTGTTATATGAAGGTTAAACAGTGAAGTTTAGACAAAATAATAAAACTCCTTTATTTTCTTGAGAGTAGACCTTGATAATTACAATATGTCCTAACTGCATTGAAGTCCCATAAAGATATATATATATATATATATATATATATAGAGAGAGAGAGAGAGAGAGAGAGATAGATAGATAGATAGATATAGATAGATAGATAGATAGATAGAT